TAAAATTATGTATATTATGTAAAGACGAATACGGTTTATACGTTTTTTTTTTCTGTTATCGTGGTAACAAATTTGTCAACGTATTTAAAATACAACGATAGCGTTTTGAAAAAATATCGTGTACCCGTCAATGATGGTTCTGCACTAGTCGTTGACCGTCCTGACGCCGAAATAAAATAATTAATAAGTTTGTACCTGCCTGCCGACATAAAGACGCACACAATTCGTATACTACGTGTCCCACGGAGATACACCCGTCGTGATATCTCAGAAAATATTAACTTTTTCAGATTTTTATTTTTTAAAAATTTAACAAACAAGTGACTCCAAAATGCCGCCATTAGTGTTATTTTCGGGAAGTAAAATAAGTAGCTAATTTTGATTTTCAAATGACAACAACCTATTATGTAAGATTTCGAAGTTACTTGTTTCTTAAATTTTCGAAATTAGAGAAAATCCCGAAAGAAAAACGGTATCTGAGATACCGCAATGGATATCTTCGTGGAACATTCTAATTTTTAATTCGTCAAAATATTACAAAGAATAAAACGAAAATCTGAAGGACTGGCGATAAAAAAAATGCATTATAGAGTTGGACTGAGCAGACTTTACAAAAAATTATGATGAACGCTAAGCTAAATACGCCTCTTCCTCCCATTAAAACGTAGTGTGTAAAGGAATCTGCAACTCTTAATAATTTTATTGTAGATATTTCGACTGTGTCAAGAGAGATGTGACAGACTTTAACCCGGATAAAGTTTGATATATGCTGAATGGATGAAGACAGTTGTGTTTGTGCATGTAGTCTAAAAGGTCGTAGACAAAAAAAAAACATTTTTCGTACATTTGGGCAATTTCGGCTCATCGTTAATAAGTTTTCGGCCCTCAGTTCGCTAAGGGTCCAGTGACCTATGGACCGTGGAGCCCCCCATGCCGAACATGAAAATATTCCCTTTTTATAAAATATTATATTATGCACATTTTTTGTCAACGGATAAATTATATATATATATATATATATTTATAAAAGATGACACAACAGGACCTTTATATCCACGGACCTGGGAGCCGTAACAGAGGTTCATCTTTTATCTCAGCACGTCCGTTGATCTTAAACATGTGTTTGACCTCTGGAGTGCTGAATATGTTTTGAAAAATTTATTCAGTTCTGCTAAAAGTGCAAAGTGGACTTTTTCCAAGACAATTTACAGTCATCGTCGAAATTTGACCTCGATTTATATAGGAAGCCCGAGCACCCGGACGCCCGTTTATAAGGCGCCAAAGATGACGCGACTAATCGAGAAAAAAAAAAAAACTCGCGAAAACGACTACCACGGATAACGTTTCCACTCGGGCTTTTCAACGCGAACACCGCGATAATACAACCGTATCTTAAATTGTACCTATTGTATCGCGACACAGTTCTGAAAAGTATCGAATATCTCGCTTATTTCGGTACCGTAATAAATCAATATACCTACGATATTAATTCAACGTATCGATTTACGTATCGGGTGGTGTCTATAAATAATAATTTTCGAAGGTATCTCGCCCATCCCTGCGGGCGTAGCGATTATTTTATACTACGATATCGTCGCGGGCGAGGTGCGGAACCTGCCTCCGTCACTCGTCGGCCATAATATCGCGTACTGTAACGGACGGACCGTATGTTATTTTTTTTTTTTCGAATCGCATATTTGTTTTCCCCCATCGCGCCCCGTCCGTAACGCGCGCGAGTTCGTCTTCTCTGTCGATATATTATTATTTTATTTATTTTTTTCCTTTTCATAATAATAATAATATACACGCGCGCACTACTGCGCGTCACATCGACGGTACGGCAAATAATAATTCACGAACTGGTTTAAAGAAAGACGGCGGCGGCCCGCACGAAACTAGATCATTCCCAATCGGAGACGGCGCTGCCGTTTAGCGACGGCGGCGGAGGCGGCGCGGCGGTGGCCGGACATGAGCGCAATTTGTTGATGGAGACAAATAGTCCGCGCGCGGCGAGATGACGACTGCGACGACGGAGACTACGTGAGCGGACGACCGGCGGCGGCGGCGGCGGCGGCGGTATAGGTACACAATATATATATATATTGGTATATACCTCTACATACGTACTGTGCGCGGGAACGAAAGAAGAGAATAATGATAATAATAATAATAAATATAGAGAAAAAAAAAAAAAAAAACAAACACGGCATAAATCAATCTCGGACATCGTCCGTCTCTCAACGGTAATGTCTCTCTACAATACGATCCGCTATTATTGTATTATGTACCGAACCCGCGCTCGCTTATATAAAACTGGATCGATATTTATTATTGTACACGCGTGTGCGTGTGTACGCGAGAGCGCGCGCGCGCGCGCGCTCAATAATAACGCGAAATAGAAGAAGAAATGTGCGTGTTTATAACGTGACCGCCATAGCCTATGAGATCCCCGGCCGCCCCGTATTTTTTTTTTATATAAATTGTAAAAATAAAAAAAAAAAATATATATATATATATAAGAATATTACAACCATCTGCCCGGCCGTAATGTCGCGCGGCTATGGTTCGGATTCCTTCGCGCCGCCGATGCGGGTCACTCTTCTTCTCCATTATAAGAAGAAGAAGAAAAAAAAAATAAAAAAAATCGTATACGTGTATATTATTTATTGATTTTTTTTTTTCTTCTACTTCTTTCCACCGTATACTTACGACGGTATAATAGTACGCGCGCGTTCACCGGCCGCCTCGATAAATAACCGACCGCGATATCAATTTGCTCGGCGACACGTCGTATTGCTTTGACTATTATAACGCCATCGGTAACTGGTTATTATATTATACGCCGCGGCAGCCGCGTCGGTCACCGTAGGCATACGATACTATTATTATTACGTCGTCGTCGTCGTCGTCGTCGATCCGCGATGAACGTAATAATATCAGTACACGCATGCATGTATAATACCGAGTTCGCGTATAGACGTAAATAGAGTATTGTACGGAAATACCATTCGGGCCCGATGGATTTTATGGTTTCAAAGTGTAAATCGAATTCAAATACCCTATTGGGTGTACGGTTAGGGACGGCTCAGGGGGAGAGCTAAACTCTGCTAAGCCTCTCCTCCAGCCACTGTTCAAGACTATGCGCGTTCGTGAGACTCGATACGTTAGGTTAGCGCGTGGCCACTCGAAACTCGCGGGTCGGAACGCCGGATTACGCGACAGGTATTGACGGGGATCCAATTTAATACGCGCGTTGGCCCGCATGAAAGGGCCGAGATACGATATTAAACATAATATAATGAAAATAAATAGTCATTCCGCGTCGTTTATTCAGAATCGGTTGATTTTTCTTCGCGATTGCACGATGTGTTGCTTTATCAACAATATATATATATGTCATATTATGGTGAAAAAAGTACATAGGCATTGGTACCTATATTTTCTTTAACACTGTTCGTTTAACATTGTACCCGTTTTCTCGTTTTTCCTACGTTTTTTCCAGTTTTTCCCATTTATTGGGAAAATCAAATAATTACCTTTTAAAAGTATCGGACCAGTAAGATTTCCTTTCAGAAATAATGCTACACTTGTAAATCGGAGCAAAATTTCTGGTAGAAAAGTTTTCCAACGGGAAAAAAAAACATTGTAAAATCATACGCTTCTCCGTTCCACACAGAATCTAAAATCATGTATATCTAACAGTCCTAACAAGAATGCGAGTGCCTAACTTAAAAGTCCCAAATCGTGTGTTTTCCGTGAAATGAGACGATTAATTGAAAATCATTAAGATAGTATGCATCAATAAAGGTTTGCCTTGGTAGCACTTGATACGTAAAATCAAACGATCCACTATGAACTATGATCACAGCAAAAATATTCATTTTATACGTATCTACGTATAAACTACACTTATTTAAAAATTAAATATAACTGAAAAATTAAAAACTTATCTTTGATATCCCAAATCGCTTTATTTCAGATCCCTTCAACTTTAAAATTCGGGTGTATAACATTAAGCATAGAGTAATGATAATCTCAGACTTCAATAATGCAAAAAAATTGACAAATAGTTATTTTTTTTTTTAAAAAAAAACCTAATCCTTTCGATAGTTTTGATAGATAATGCATCAGTAGTTTTTTGTTATTGCAATATACATTGCATTATATTGTTTTTTTTTTTTTTTTTATATATACATATACACACAGATGACGACGTGTCCATAACTAGCTTTATGATGATATTTGTCGAAACAAGTTATTATAAGCGAAAGTATTTAATAATAATATACTTAATTATCTCGCCTTGTCCGATGCACGTGAAAACTGGCTAAATCCTCTCGATAAACCGTCCGATTCCCTTTGCCAACACCGAACACTGGTTCGTCGAATTTTTCAGTATTTTACCGTTTCGTTTGTAAAATTCATACAGACGATTTATCATCAAGAGTATAATATACAAATGGGCCCCAACGTACCGTTATTATAATGCGAACATCTCTTTTTTTTTTTCACATAATTATTATTATTTTTATTCCTTTTCCTCGTGTTTTACAATATGTATTTATTTTTTTTATCAAATCCGTAATCTTTAATGCCGCACCTCCGTCGTTTGTTAACTTCATACATAAATAAATTAATGTCGGCGTTGAATTTTTTTTTTTTGCATACACATTTTACCGACAATGTTATGAATATTATAATGAAAACAAAAGACCAATATAATAATTTTAAGCGCATATAACAGATTAACAAAGGCAGCTTGATGATTTTTTAATTAACATCAAATGTAATATTAAATTATATTGTATACATTTTGAACAATAAGTTAGCAACAGTGAGTGTGTTTTAGTCTGATAAATAATCTATATTAATTTCAAAACATAATTTTTAATAACATATTAATTTATTTTCATATTTGTGTTAAATAAATAAATAATTTTATGGGACAAATGGGAGCAGAAATGACCACGTAAACGTATTTTGTCCGCGAAATACCTGTTTTACACAGGATTTTGTCCATTATTTGCTGAAGTCACCGTTTCAGCTAATTCCTTGTCTTTGACAATGTAGCGAGCAGTGCAAAAGAAAAATATTGCTCCTAATACCTCAACAATACTTGATATAAACAGGGCGTATTGAAGGCTCTGAAAGTTGATTTTATCATCTTTGAAATCAACAATTTGTAAACTATTATTGGCTAACGTCACCGAAGCTAAAAATAGCGGTATGTTATTTTTAAATAATTTTTTCAACATTTCTGAAATCACTCCGATGAAATATGGACTACTAGCATCTCCAAACGAGTGTGATATCAAAATTTGAAATGCTTCAGCAGTTGATCGTCTATTAGGACTTACGACATATAATAGTATATCAGCTACAATTGACCAATTAAGATTCAAAGATATTTGACCGATAAATATTAGAACTAATACAAGATAATAATATTTATCTGCTAGCACTAGTCCTAAAAATAGAAATGGAGCCGATATCAGAAGACCAACCGCACAAATTAGTGGGTCCGCTTTAGGATAATGCACTTTAAGTCTTTCGGACAAATAATTACCTAAAGGTACCCCAATGAGTCCAGCCGCCATAGCTATTACTCCAAAGCTAAATGATACACTGTTTAGTTCCACGTGCTCGTAGCCCTTTTGCATTTTAAGTCCTTGCCACATTATATTAGGACCCCACCATGCTAATGAACCCGTTACAAAAGCCACACAAGTAAATCCAGCAGTAGAAAACACGAAGCTTCGATTCCTTATCAATAACATTATATCCTCAGACCAAGATGTAGTGGTTAAGTGAGAAAGCCCTTCGCTTTGACCTCTCTCGGGTTCTTCCATTAAAAACAAAATCATAAGAATGGCCATCATACCTAGTAGTGGTGTGACTCGTAATCCCCAGTGCCAACTACCAAAAATCCTCGCCGCTTCTGAGCCAACAATATAGCCCAAACCACTTCCCACGGGTATAGCAAAATAAAACAAAGCCAACATTCTCGATCTTACTTTTTTTACAAACATATCACTTATAATAGTAGGTGCAATAGTTGAATAACTAGCTTCACCTATACCCACTAAACTTCGAGAAAACAGAAATAAACAATAATGATCCGTATAAGAACCAACAAATGTAGTCAACGACCACAGAAATACACCGAAGACCATGAGAAATCGTCTATTGTATCTGTCTCCTAGATACCCAAACACTGGAGCGCATATCATATAACTTATGACAAATGCAGTTTGCAATAAACCGCCTTTGTCATCTCCAATGTTAAATTCTTTTTGAACATCGTTTAGAATACCTGCGACCGTGTAACGATCCATGTAGTTGATTAAATTGACGAAGCATAATATAACTACGGTGATCTTCTGCTTGCCGGTGATCGGTGAGCTCGTGCCGGTCCTGTTGGGCGGTAACGGCAGTTGGGCGTTCATTATTTGTAATACGCTCTTGACGGTGTTATTTTCGAATACTTAAACCGTCCAAAAACCGATAAAACTTTTAGACTATATAAATATTAGAAAAAGTTCGTCACAGTTCGACCTTAGATTTATGTTTGAATATCAACACAACGGACACCCTCGACAACGGTCGCTAACAAAATTAAAACAAACAGTGATTTTACACTAGTTCTGAAATAATATAAATGTACGTTCGGTGATTTTACATAGATATTATAAATTACTATCGAAAGTAACAAATTATAAAAAAAAAGGCCGACATACTTTCTCCGTTACGAGTGTGTTACCTGTTGAAAATCGGAAAGGTATTTAATTTATATGAATTATATCTATCTAAAAATAATCTAGGATTATTTTTTTCCGAATTACGATGAAAAAAAAAACAGATGTTTTTCGAACGTCTGTTTTCCAATTTTTAAGAATATAAGAAAAATCAATAACCGTCCTTCTACATTCGGTCAATAAATAACCTTTAGATACATTACCTAGACAAAATTTGCTACCGAAAACCATCCCTGAAGTCGAAGATCAAAGTATGACTTTAAGTAAAGAAAGTCGTTCACAGAGATAAAACAAAATTTAAAAAAAAATACACATCATATGGTAGTAAAATTATTAATACATTTCCCGTTACGTTTAGAACCTTAGATACCAATAAATACTTTTTTCAACCGTTTCATATTTTCCGCGGAGTTTGTTAACAGTTTCGATTATGGACACGAGTACTGCAATAATTACTATTTTTATTCATTGCGCACTTATAATGGGTAAACGATGTAGCGTGTTGCGTGCCACAGCAGTGGTATCCTTGTGGTCTCGTCATATATTTTCCGGTCTTAAAATTTTTATTTTATTCACCTTGATATTTGTAACAAACGCATTATTGTTTTTAATTTTTTTTTTCTCTATCCTAGCATAACCTACTCGTATAGTTAATTAATAGTACGATGTGCTGAATCACGCTGCCAACGTCGTGCGTGTTGACATTCTTTTTTTCTTATTCTTTTCCGCCGTTTTACTAATTTTTAGATCTCTATTAGGTTCCATTCAAATACAAGCTTATTATTTTACAAAGTCGTAGTTTTTCTCTCTCGGAAAACAGTAATTCGATTAGTAAAAATACCCTACCTCTTTCACGTTGTAGTCATAATACGATAAGTGGATTTTTAATAAAAATCATACTATTTAGTGATGGTTTTTTTTTTAAAAAATAACTGATAACAAATGGAGATATATCCTATATCAGTTCTGTTTATTTCTGGGTTTAAACATAAACGAGACTAACCTAACCTAACCTTATCAATTTACACCAAGCGCCGCTTGGAATCTTACGTATTATTAATGGCTAAACCTAACTTTGGCTATGAAACATCTATACCAAGATGTTTATTCTACTTTGATCAAGCAATTTGATGAAAAGTCCAATACTTAGGACTTACTCAAGATATGAACCTAAATCAATGATTTATTCATAATGTGAAGTATGACCGGCTCTTTTACATATATATACGGATATACAGGGTTAAGTCAAATAAGTAAATTTGAATATCTGGATACTATAGATACATTGATTTTCAATATTTAGATAAAAGATATTAGATATAAATATATCTAATATCTTTTAAATATATAAATATTAGATATATATATGCAACAGGTATTGCAATACAAAATATACACGATACTTCATATTATACGATCTACTTTTCACCAACAAATTATAGATGTACCCAAATACATTTGATTCATTCCTTGTAAAACGATTAACATAAATATTTGCAGCATTTGGATTTAGCACTATACGTAGTCATTTTAAACCATTTTCCGTTTATTATTATAACCCGTCGTGCACGGAGCGCGGTACAACTGGTTGTTTTATAAAACGAATAATATAATATATCGAATTACTTAATTTTCTATAATCGTACGCATATAATGTATATATATATATATTTTTTTCCTCGCATTTAGACGACTTACTTCGGCAGACGCGACCGTCGTCGTCGTTGTCGCCAGATGGTTATTCGTGCAGCGCCGCCGCCGCGTTCTTTACGCGTATTTATTCGGATCTGATATCTTCTTTATGGAAATGGGTTTTATATACCTATATATACACGCACAAACAGATTATAATATTGTCATAAATATAATATGGAATATCTATTAAACGTGTTCGATGCGCGCGTCGGAATACGCAAAAAAAAAAAATAAATAAATAAAAATACAGAGTATAGTATATTATAAAAAAAAAATGTTAATAATATGTCGAACGGGCGGGCGCGTTGATTATGCAAATCGCGATAATTTAAACGCCGTCGTATATACTTGGATGTACTTCTACGACGCCGCTGTTCAAAAAATGCCAAAAATTATTTACACAAATATTGAGAAATTATATTTTGTACGCGAGTACGCACAAATTCCGCGCGTTTTCTCAACGAGTACCTCGACATATAGAACATAAAAAAAAAATAAATAACACTCAACAAAAATTGTCGCTGTGTGCCTGATCAGCAGATTTTAATTTGTCGTCAAGTCTACTTGAGTATGAATTTCCCATTTTTTTTTAACAATAATTAAACGAACAAAATGACATGAAATGCCCGACATATCCTTTAATAGTTTTTTTCCTCAACAAGTAGCTGAACTTCAATCATTTCCATATAAGATACATTTCTTTCGTTTGGTAACTCGTAATGCCTTATACATGATGATCCATCTATCACAAGACACTCATTATCTCGGAAAGCATTAACTTTTTCCGAAATTTGTTTTCTAGAATATTTAAGAAACAAGCTGTTCTACAATTTTATATTTGTGTTATTTTTTTGTCCCCTTATTTTTGGTGGTAAAACCACTACATACTTTTGATTTTCAAATAGCAACCTATATTAAAAATTCCATAAATAGATGAAGTATTAGTTAAAATAAATTTTGGTGTTGAAATTTTTGATTCCGTCAATCCGATGACAAGATATTCCACTTTTAAGTTTGGGTTAGAGGAGAGTAGTGGAGTATCATTTGTGTGGTACGGCGCACGGCGTGTTAATAATGTACCACCACTCTCCTCCAACCTAAACTTAAAAGTAGAATATCTCGTCAACGGCTGGACAGAAATAAAAAATGACAATACACAAATTTATTTTAAATAATACTCCATCCATTTATAAAATTTCTAATATAGATTGCCATTTGAAAATCAATAAGTAGGTAGTAATTTTTCCTCTAAAAATAAGGATGACAAAAAATAATATAAATATAACAGCTTGTTTCTTAAATGTTCCAAAAAAATAAATTCCGGAAAAAGTTAATACTTTCCGAGATATGAGTATATTATAATAGATTGATCTCCCCGTATAAAAAAAACGCATAATAAAAAGAAAAATCTATGTATTTTAAATGCAAAACATTACCTAGTTACAGGAGGAGTCCTCCTGGAAAGCTGAAGTATTGTCTTAAAACTTCGAAAACTCAAATAAGGCCCAATATATTTTTATTATTATTTCGAGAAAAGTTAGAGAATGACGGAGAAAGATTCCACAGTCACCCAAATAAGAAATACCTTCGTTTATAAATCTATCTTCCCGGCAATAATGGCTTACCCATGGTGCTAAGTCTGTATGACTGGCTTTTTATCGTTAATTCGAAATAGAATTTGTTTATTGATATCATTGCGTTTTTTGGCAACTGTATAAAAAACAATCCGTACGTATAAAATACTGTAATAGTATGCAGTGATATAGTATTTGTAGCAGCGTATAGTGGAGCCAAGAAAAAAAAAGGTGTGGTAAAACTGACAAAATTTGAACGATTTTTAGTTTTATTATTATTGTCAAAACATATTCAGTAACAATATAATAACAAAATAGTTCGTGTCGACCGGTACGTATAAGACAACTTAGATGATCGTGTTTGGCATAATATCTATTAAGTATATACATATCCAGCGGAGTTATATTAACATATTTGAATAACTCAAGTGATCATATATTTTATTTTATTTTAATAGGTCCAACTCATTATATTTTTCTTATTTATTTAAAAATATGCTTCTGTTTTCAAAAACGTACACTCCAATGAATTTAAATCGTATATCTCGATTTCCAAGAGAGAAGATTATGTAAATCCATTCCTTATACTATATATAAACGGTAAATCTTATCAACAAGTCCGATGACGGCGAATAATTACAAATTATTCAAAAAAGAAATCGAATATACTTCACGCTATGGGTAGGCCAATGGTATTGGTGAGAATTTGGGAAGGTAGTTTATAGGTTAATATATATATAACGTAAGATATACTCATTATTTCCGAAAGTATTGACTTTTTTCGGAATTTGTTTTTTTTTTAATTTTCGGAAAAAGCAACTCTGAAATCACATAACTACCGTTTTTTTAACCTTTATTTTTTAGAGTGAAATCCCTACCTACTTTTGATTTTCAAACTCGATACATGATGATATATTTAATTAAAATACGTGTTGGTTTTGAAATTAATAATTTTAAATCAATTTAGTTTAACTATTTAAACGCTATACAAATGATATTCTACCCTTATCCACTAAACGGAAAATTTAAAAGTACAATATTCGTCAGAGTTGACGGGATTTAAAAAAAAAAATAAAATTTCATCTATTTATGGAATTTGTAATAATTTCTAATATAGGTTGGTAGTGAAAATTCTAAAAAAAAAATATTTTAGAGCAGATATTTTTCTTAAATTGTATAAAAAAAAATTCCGAAAAAAGTTAGTATTTTCCAAAGTTATGATTGTCTTACATTATGCTAATTACTTTGTAAACTATAGAAGTTTGGTTCAAATATTTAAAGTAACAATCAATATCGCAATCAAAATACTATTCTAAGCGCAGTTCGTTGAACTGTATTAGTCGGATTTTGTCCCTTGTAACTGAGTGGTTTTCCATTAATCAACAAAAATATTAAATTCGACGTATTTCCGTCAAAAATTATGATCAGTGGTTTTAATTTGATAAAAAAAATTGCCAAAAATTTAGACAAAATGTTCATAAAAGGGCTATTGCTCAAAAATTTCTCATCTTTCCTTTTTAAATACCGTGTGAACAATTTGATGCCATCCGAGGGATAAAACGTAAATATCTTTAGGAATGTACAAAACTAAAAAAAACACACTTCTCCTGCAAAAAAACTAACTGAAAAAAAAATAATTCGTACGCAACAGTCGCCATTCTCGGTGAAAATTCGCCAAAATCGCACTCAAAGCGTTGGAAACCGAAACGTGAAATTCTATAAAACACCGCATTTAAAACAACGACGTATTATCCGGACGGTCGGGTAAAACAGGAAAAATAAGCAGGCACGCTGCAGCAATAATATTATCATGATTTCACCGTCGGACCGTTTGTAATATATTATTATTATTTTTATTATTATTGTCGTCACCCGCACTGTAAAAAATCTCGTGTTCCGAGAGCCGTTCCGATTGAAACGAAATCGGTGACCGCCGCCGGACGAACGAGAAAACTCGTCGCGGGAAGGCGTACGAAAACGAAGACGATTTCTCTGGCCGTACGGTGACGGAGAAGAAGATCCGCGTCATCGCGAGTATAGGACTTCCGATAAATACCGCCGGAGGGTATTACACGCGTATTATATATATACGAATAGGTACGACCGGAATAAAAAAGGAAAAAAAAAAAAAGCGCATCACTAAAAACGACGACGGATTTCTTGGCGGAGCGCGTGACCTTTGCCGCGGGGGCCACAGTCGTCGTACACGGTATAGCGAGGGGAGCTATAAAAATCGAGTTCGGGGCCGAACGTCGTCGTGACATTCTCGACGCGCGAAAGTTTGTATTTACCGCGGTTTACACGCGCAGTTTATTATGCGTGCGCGTATATAATATGACACTTTTCGAGATATCGCGCGATGTACTTATACGTATGTAATTTTTCCCGTCGGCCGGATCGTCCGGCTGCCGGGAGGGAGGGGGGGGGAATACACGGCAAACGATGTCGGCGGACGATAATTAAAAACAGAAAAATTACCACAAAGACCTATAAAAAAAAATATACACGAGTACCCAAAGAATATATTATCATTATGCGGGAAGAGAAGAGACCGGCGGCGGCGCGGCGACTGCGACGGCGACGGCGACGACGACGGCAATTCGACCTTTTTCACCTCGGACACAGGGTCCAGTTTTAACGTCCCGCGCACGATTTCCCCTCCGGCGTTAATATTTACAATATGATGCGGCCGAAGGGGAATCGCACACACGCAAACACGCGCCCGGACAAAATATTATAATATTACCTACCCATATTATAATACAAGATAAGTGCCCGAGTACGGTATATTATTATAAATATATATGTGTGACGACGGACGCGCCGTGTGCGATTTCTAAATCGGCGGCGGAGCCCCGATATATTATATTGATTTTAACACGTTCCAGGAAAGATGCTTTCTCCTAAAAAAAAAAAAAAAAAAAACCAAAACGACAAAAAATTAATAATAATTCACGCGTCTAGGAGCTTTCTTTCGCATACGCTTGTCGATAACCCGGCACACCACGCGTTATTTTCGTACCAATATAATATACGTATTTTAAACGCTATACAGACAACGTAATTCTAAAACATTATGGAGAAAAAACCATTTCGCAGGTACTATTATAACTATATAATCGTGTTTGTAATGTTTTTCACATATTGTCGAGGTGACCCGGAAAAATACCTATAAAGGAGGTGAACCGTCGAAAATATCGATAAAACCCGCGGAAATTCCACGTCTTTCGAGGTACTGACGTTCCCGCTATAATAATGTGCATTATATTATGTGGGCCTGCCCACATCATAATAACTATTATGTGGACGTCGTCGTCGTCGTCGTCGTACGGAATTCGGACGATAAAATCTCGGCACTCGCGCGCGCGCGTACGGTGGTCAT